TATATGCAATTATGCTGTTTTAATGTTAATATAATGTCAACGTCGGACATTAAAACAGCATAATAGCATATAATGATTTTGTTTGTTTTTCCGTATATTTTCTTCCTACTGTCGGATCTATATCCATATATTTGCTTTATATATATATATATATATATATATATATATATATATATATATATATATATATATATTAAAAAAAGAAGAGAGAAACTGCAAACGTTTTTTATTATAATGTGGATTTTTTTTTAAAAATATGTTATACTTTATTTTCCTTTTTTTTTTTTTGCTACACAGGTTTCCGGTCTCATGACCTTCATCAGGCAAATAGTGTATAGATATTTCCACATATTAAAAGGAAATAATTTTCCTTATGTTTTTTGATGTTTAACCATAGTCTTTTTGTTTGGTAGTAATAGCCCAAATGACTGGTGACAAAAGTGTTTTACTACTTAACAGGTAATAAAACAATTGTTTTAATCAAAGAGAATGTCATTCTCAATCCCATTCAATTCCTTAGTGACACCACATTTCTTAAATGGTTTAATCATATCACCTTATTTTTTCTCATAAATTCTTCAGCCACATGAATACCTGAACAAGTGTTGGTCATTTCCTACATATTACTAATACCTTTGGTTTACAGGAAGCAAACAGATTTTGACATCAAATTTTCAAATAAAAAATGTGTCATGCACACCAAATAAATTCAGTTTTAGTGACTATTTTTATTACATTGGATTTTTGCTACATTCATAAAATCACAAAACAATGAAAGGACACCTCAAAAAAATCTAATTTCATTTCTCATGAAGAACTGATATATAATTCACTTAATGCAGATTTTTAATAATTTTTATCTGAACTTCAAGTTAAAACTATAAATAAATAAATGTTGGCTGGATTTTTTATTGTATCTCCATAAACAGGGCTCATCTCCTTTCCAAGGATTTAGGTCACCAGGATGTCCAGGGCAAATACTCATCTATTCTCCAACCAAACAACAAAAGACAAATACAACCAAAGGACTAATAGCATAAAATATTCTTCACTTGACTACATTCTTCCCCATCAATAATTGTGAAATGCTAGTAATGTAACATTTAAACGTCATGGTGAGATGGAGCACAAAGAGATTCAGGTCTCTTTCCTAAAGTGTGAAGTGAATAGAATTCACCAATTTTGTTTTCCACACTGATAGCCAGTATGCATCTACACAAGTAGCTGAATTTGATTTCCAAGTTGGTCACATTCACTTTCGTACAAAGACTCTTAGGAAAGGTATAAATTCATCTCTTCCAAATTATGGCTTAAATAGCATGACAGACTGGGCTCTCTAGCCATGGTTAGCAACCAGTCTAGGGGAAAGACAACTCTGAATTCAAAACCTGTATGTAGCCCTGGTGTATTACATACTATACAGCCATTGATAAGATCATAAAGTTCACAATGACTATAATCTCAACTGCAGCTGACATGACTGTGTTGATTTATTACTATTATTATTAGGAAGAAAAAGTGAATGTATAATGGATTTTACAAGAGTGCAACTGTTAATAGTGCTACACTAAAAAGTTTAACTTTTGTAATTTGTAAATAGTAGTATTGTAGGCAATGTTTTGAGATAACAGCTTTGATTAAACTATTTTGGTGATCCTCATTGAATGCTCCCAATATTTAGCCATGTGCCTGACTTTGGTAAATCACCCCCCCCCCAAAAAAAACATTTTTAACATTCCTCTTATTTTGCCTTAATTTCAGATCTTAATCAGAATAATTCACAAAGTTAAAGAATTCAAATCAATTAGAGTTTGCATTTGTTCTGTTCAATTTGGATGCAATTTAACAACCTCATTAGATTTTTTTTTATCTTTAATTTCTCCAATATTAATGGAGATCAAATGTTAAAAGCTTCTTTTGGCCAATTTTATTAATCACCAATCAAGTGGAAATGAACAGAATTTCCATAACAGGAAATAGCAACAATGTCTTCTGGGAGAACATTAAAATTGTAAAGAATTAGTATAGGAAGTCTCAAATTCAAAATCTGGTATCCAGGAGAGGTTATGATCTCATTAGTCATAACTTGTTTATTATGCAATTCTAATCTAATATATAACCCTCACAACTGTTTGAGGATTCCTATACACACCCCACACTAAACTTAAATAAAGTCAATTCAGTTTGCTATGGTAAAAATTTTCTATCCCAACTAAAAATCATCATCATCAAAAATAGCAAAAGTCATTTTGTCACATTATTTTCTCTGAAAGAGAAAAAAAAATGGATTTTCATATTTTTATAGGAGTACAAGGTAAAATATTGAAAAATGACTTTTGTCATCATCTGAACAAAAAAAAAAAAAAAAAAAAAAAAAAAAAAAAAATCAAGGAAACTTTTGATCTGAACCCCATGAAACTAGGTATTTTCTGAAAGCAAACAATATGTTCTTTCATTTAAAAGTAAAATTGGCTGGTGTAAATGACTCAAAAAAATTTTTTTTCAGGGGGTAAAATGTGAAAAAATAGTGAAAATTTTGCATTTTTTCTAGTGCTAAACAAAAATTTTCCCCAATAATGTGGGGCTAACCAGGTTTTGGAAAATCAGAAAGCCTAAATCCTAATCAAACTATTTCAGGCATAAAATTGAGAGTCTTAAGAAAAACAAAAATTCATTCATGTCCATTGGTAATTTTCAATTATATGGACACCAGGGGTTAAAAAAAATTGTCACCCGGGCCATGGAAATCTTTAGTAAAAGGCAAAAGATTTATCCACAATTCCTGACCGGAAACCAGTTTTCTTTTTTTTTTTTTTTTTAAATTAGCAGCATAAGGAAAATAGGGTTCAAATTAAGCCAAATTGACTGACATGGCTTGGTCAAAGGCCAGCCAGCCAGGTAGCAATAAAAGTTAAAAACAAGCTGTCATCAGCTGGTGATAAATCCAACCAATTACAAGATAAGAGCAAAGAGTAAGAAAAAAAAAGGGAACATTGGTAAAAAGTGCTTGACATGGGTTATTTTTTCAAACCTATGTTTGAATAATGGCTTGATGTGTTTGTTTTTGTTTTTTTTACACCTTGTGACCCAAAAAACACTGATATTGTTTTTTTCTTTTTTCATTTCCCATAGTCCAGTCATATAGCAGTTCCTTTTATTCAATGATGTTTACACCAACTTAAAGAGAAAGGACTGAAGTTTGCAAAAAAAATGGTTTTGAAGTGAAAAAAATGTATTTCTTTCATTTAAAAAAAAAAAAAAATACCTAACCTCCGAGCGACATTTTTTCACAGCCAAATCAAAGATTATTTACCAGTGAATAATTCCATGCGCAAATAGCTGTCTGGATCCAATAACATGGCCCCAAAACATCTAGAAGGTAACTAATTGAATAAAAAACTTGTTGCACATAATTGTGTTTTCCACAGTCAAGTCATTGAAGATTCAGGAAAACAGTCTGGCACGGGTTTACTTTCTATGAGGGGTCTAATGTTACTGATGAATGGGAATTTTCACCAAATATTTCATTCACGTGCCATGTTGGATTTTCCTATATGTTTTCCAAGTATTTTAAACAGCTGTGCTCTCAAAATTTGAGCATGAGTGTCTTCTTTCCCTTATCCCTTCTAATCTTTATTGCCTCTCCAAGTTTTTATCCAAATGCCATATAAAAATGGATTAGTTGCATAACACAAAGATATATATCTTTGTTTAAAAGAATTCTTGCTGCCTAAGCACAACTTATTTGAATCATAATCCTGCACAACAAAATTTCGATGCTTCCCTTGTAGAAAGAGAAATCAAATCATCCAAAGAAATAAAAATTTATGCAGATACATTTTGTCATTATTCTTGTTTGAAAGAATTCTTCCTGCCTAAATACAACTTCATATATATATATATATATATATATATATATATATATATGTGTGAAATTATGTAAAACAAAGTATAATATTTTTTCTCAATAAATCCACATTACAACCAAAAACGTTTGCGGCACCCCTCTTCTTTTTAATATACATACTTTTCTCTCGTTGGAACCACTACAACATATTTCTTTTATATATATATATATATAAGCAAAAGGCAATTTCAATGATTTGAACAAAATATTTTTTTAAGTTAACATTTATTTGTATTTGTAAATTAAATATTCCTTCTATTTTCAAAATAGTATTTTGTTTTGAAATAAATTTATCAACAGATACAAGCAAAAGCAAAATGTGTCTAAAAACTTCTATTAAAAGTAAAAATGATTTTAACTTCCTTCAAACTTTAACACATTTTGAATAAACTAAGAAATTTGTAATAAATGCACAATAATACACAACTTATTATAAATAATTATTAATCATAAATATCAATTTTTCTAATATTAGCTAATTTTTTATATAGAATTCCTAAAGTGAAGTTCTTCATTTCTCTCATAAATTAAAACAACCAAATTTTTAGTAGTTTTTCTGAATCTCATTAACCAATCACTAAGTGCAAAATTAAGCTAGATAAAAAAAATGACAGAATAGCACTTAAGGTAAAAAATATTTCATCCCTTTTTTGTTTTTTCAAATTTTATTTGACATGCTGCAAAAAAAATAATTCTATAACTACATATTAGGTTAGATTTACTAAGATTTACTGTCTCAAAGGAAAAACGTTCATAATAAATAAATAAAATCAGATTATCAAGATTTTCAAAAACATTCACAAAATTACATCTTTTGAAAAAAAAAAAAAGAAAAGAAAAAGTGATCATTTTTCTTTTTACTTTGCATAAAAGAGTTAATATGAAAAGTTTCTATTTCTAAAGGACATTAATAGTTTCATATATTTTATTATAACATTTGCTTTCTATCTAAAGTTTAGATTTTTATAAACAAAGATATTTTTTATCTATAAAAATATCCAAAATCCTTATTCTACTATAAAAGAACAAAATTCAAGAGACAAAACGCAAGTCCTAAAATAATAAATAAAAAATGCAAAATGAATTTTCTTACCATTAGATCTCTTTCCTGAATAATTTTTTCTGTTTCATATTTAATCCTTAATTTGAAATCTGAAACTTCAAGTGATTGGTAATCTGTTAAATCCACAATTGGAGCTGCAGAAAAAAAAAATACAAATATTACATAAAGTTCATTCCTTAAATTATACAAAATTATTCTACAGTTATAAACAATTATATATTATAAATTAACTGAATTAAAATATAGTTTTTTTTTTCACTACACAGTAACAACCATGTTTCACAAATGGAAGCTAAAAACTTGAAATTTAATTATATAATTAAATTAGTTCTGTTTCATCTTCAAGCCTTGGCTTGAAGATGAAACAGAACTAATGCTTTTAATTTAATTATTTCAAGTTTTTAGCTTCCATTTGTGAAACATGGTTATTACTGTGTAGCGAAAAAGCCATATTTTAAATCAGTTAATTTATAATATTTATGCTCTGTAAATTTACATTGAGCACTGTTTTGTAAAAAATAACAAGAACACCGGATTATATATCTTACTGTTATTTCTTCATATATATATATATATATATATATATATATATATATATATATATAACTACTCTCTGTTAAATTTTAATCCCCACTTCATCTTTAGACCTTCCTGTTCTTATCTCGTCTGTTACCCCTCCCTATAGCTCTCATTTACTCTAACATTCATCCCACACTCTCATACATACACTCTCACTAAATTTTATTTTTTATTCCCAGAGTTGTTTTTTTTTCTGTTTTTCTTTTTGAATTTGTAGGTCTGATGAATTGGATCATATCTACGATTCCAATGGAATAAATTATGACCATGGAATATTAGTGTTTAAGCCTTTTTATTATATCCTTACTCTGTCCCGGAAATTGAGTTCTACATGGATTCTATCCTCTTGGATTTATTTTTTATACAAATATATGTATGTGTATGTATGTATATATATTATATATATATGATTCCATATGTATGTGTATATTTACCACTAATATTAAATATATATATATATATATATATATATATATGATTTCATATGTATGTGTACATTTACCACTAATATTAAATATATATATATATATATATATATATATATAGGACACACAACTACAAGTCTCTCACATACCACCTTAATGACATCAGTGCCATAAAAAAATCTTGTAACAACACATTCAAATCATTCAAAATAAGAAAAATCCAAAAATTCTCCACAAAAACAATTGCAAAAAAATCATTACAAATTACAAAGCCATACTAATTAAAATCAAATAGCATTTAATACTGGCAGAAATATTTTAAACATATTTAATAATTAATATTCCAAATAATAAACATCAACGCTCTCCTTATTAATAATGAACTAATCCAACCACAATGTCTAAATACCCAAAATATTATCCATAAAACTAAAATAAGCAACCTATTTCAAAACAAAACATACAGCCATGATGACAGTTGATGATAACCGAAAACATTCAGCAAAACACCATAGACTAGGGTCTTATTTCAATAACTTAGACCCAAATATTAAAAAAAAAAAAACTAGCCAAAAAGCCAAATTAAAAGCCAAAATTTCAAATGAAGTTTAATGAAACAAGCACATGAAAGATTTACCTATATTCATTAATGTTTGTTTTTTCCATCTTATATATTTTCTATTTAACATTCTTCCATAAAATAGCTAAAAATTAATAATAAAAACAAAATATGAAAATTAATAATGAAATGTGAAATGTTTAATACAAAATTAACCCAACATTAACTGGCTTAAAATTTGTGATTTATATTAAATAAATGTTGCTATTAAAAGGTTGGATAGTGAATTCAATAAAAGGATTATTATTTTAAATGCCTCAGAAAAAAAATGTCAATTAAAATTATTTTTTCTTATACACTTTTCTCTTATTTATAATGTATTGGAATTACTTGATATTTTTGCTTATAAACGTATTGTAAATTATTTTTTATAGTTAATTTGTTCATAAAAATGAAATATTAAATATCAATGTGAAGAATGTATTTTATGTTAACTAAATATTCCTGAAAAAAAAAAAAAAATTTCTAAAGCACTTTGGCAATGGTTACAGATTTTGTACAAAATCTGAGTCCTGGATAGTTATTCTAAATATTACATAAATATGTATGGTTTTACTGTTCTTACCAATAAAAAAGAAAGGAAGAAAAAATATTCAATGACATGTTTACAAACTTCATGAGTTATCCTTATGACACTTTTACAATCTTTTACACCTTACATGGATTCCTTCAGAAATAATCTAACTCAAAGATAAGTGAATTTAAAAGTTCTTATATTCTAAGAACTATTGACCTAAAGCCAGGTCAGTGTGACATTTTCTTCTAGAAAAAAAAAAAAATAAATCAGAGCCATCCACAATTAGTTTAATAAAATATTGTTTCATAAATATTATTTTAAATATTTCACAATTTTAATCTGGTCAATTCACCTTCTAATTTAGTCTACTTGGAAAAATCAGGCATAGCTGACCACATATGGAGAGAAAAGGGAGATCACCGCCCTCTGTGTAATCAAGTTGAGATCATAGATAAAGAACATCATTGGAAAATTCGTAAACTGAAGGAATCAGCACATATTCTAGGCTACAAAAATCTTCTGAGCCGATCAAGCATAGAAATGAATACAATATGGGAACCAGTAATAAGGAATGCCAGAGAAAAGCAATAATAACAACAAAAATTGCAATACGAGCTCTGGTAAAAAATATGCAATGATAACAGTAAAAAAAAAAAAAAAAAAAAAAAAAAATTGCAATATCAGCACTGGTAAAAAAATGGTTGCTGAAGACATTAGGTTTATAATAATACCCTGAAATTCATACACAGATGTCCTCAAGGACACATGACACAGTAGATAAAGGGGTTAGTTAGATCCAGTGACAGACACAAAGAGTATGAGTTCAGTACCCAGTTAAGGCAGTGGAGAACTTTCAGAGGGGAATTAACAGGAGATAACTGACATCCATTAGACATGGCATGTGGAACTAGAACAGTCTACCTCAGTGAGTGAAATAAAGGGTTTATATCGACATTCCAACCACCTGAAGAAGGCCAAAGCGTACAACAGCCGAAACGTTGTGATAAACATGGCGGCAATGATCAGGACAATAGTCCGAATAATGTAAATAGTGTATATAATACCTCATCTCAGAAATATAGACATTCACAATTTTAATCTGGTCAGTTCACCTTCTAATTTAGTCTACTTGTCCACATTTACAATCCTGTAAATTTTTGTTTAAAAATTTTTTATTTTATGTTCAGTCATAATTAGAAATCATCCAATGACAAAGTTTTGTTTACAATTAGATTTACAAGATAAATCTATATAATACTAAAACATTAATCTTCTATGTGTGCTTCCAAGATACAACTTAAATGATACATTGTACCTTGAATCCCTGCCAGGTGCAGTGAAAAATTTTACTAAAATTAGACAAGGGATTCTTGAGCTAGTGTTGTTTTTAGAAAATTTTTCATAGGAAATTCAGTATTTGTTTCCAGTACACATTCTTATATCAATCTGCGTACATAAACAAACTTTTGCATATTATATTCTAACTATTATCTGTGTGAAAAATAATAAACATTCATAATACATTACAAGGATATAAAATAAATTTAAATATGCATAACACAACATATATTTATACAATTCCCTACACTACATTAGAACTTTTGTTTATAAACAACTACTTGAAAGGCAAAGAGACTTATGTGTCACATGACTTGATGGTAAATAAACATAGATGCAAACCAGTTTGTCACCATTAAATATTTTGAAATAGAAGCAAGGAAGAAACAAGCACGTCTAATAAAAAATATGCTTATTTTAAAAAGGGCTACATCTGTTTTAAGCTATTACTCTAAATTTTCATGTAATGTGTTAACTATGAAACCCAGTGGAACAATAAACCTTTTACCCTCATTAATTATTAATTTTGTATTCAAAGTACATTTTATGGAGGAAATTTGTCTTTTAATGTAAAGAAGTAAAAGATATGTCCATTGATATCATAAAATAATTTTTTTTCATACTTTAAATCAGGATATATCTGCATTCAGTCATTTTGGGGGATTTTCATTAGTTTTCACAAATTCTGAAAATCTTTCTATTTGTATATATAAATGATATATATATATTTTGTTTGGTTTGCTTTGTGGCACATCAACCTCAATGGGTCATTTAATGCCGACAACTTTTTTTTTTTCCTTGGTAATACTTTTGTTTTGTCAAAAATCTATTTCTGTTAATATTTTTTCCTCAATGTATAGCTGGTAATATTATTTTTTCTAAAACATATAGCCGTCAACACTGTTCTTTCAAAAACATTATCAGAGGCCTTGCTGTTGGACATAGTTTATCATCATACCCAGCACGTGGATGTAGTTTATCATATATATTTTGTTTAATCTAAGTAATATTGTATAATGTGAGTAATAATGATTATTACAATAACTTGTATTGCAAATACAAATCAAAATATGTGTAATTAATGATAATATTCTGACCTCATTTTGTATCATGAACTGATTTTAAAAGAAACCCGTGTTTATAGGTGATCTATAAAAAATATATTAACCTGAAGAATTCTATCAATTATATTTAAATACAGATTACTAACCTCTTTAACTTCACTTGATTACAAATGAATTCTTAACTAAAAATCCTAACTTTTGATTATATTTACAACACATTCCAGAAATATTTAAATCAGGAATCATAATTATATACTGTTTGTCTATATAGTTTTAAAAATTAGAAGACAGTACAATTTTTTTCAAGGGGAATAACTCTTACCTACTTCACATGAAAATACACTTATATTAGCCCATGTGAAAATAAGTCATGGGAAAAATCCCAAGAAGCTTTAGAAAGAATTTCTACTCTATAATATGCGTTAGTGAAAAAGTGACCAGCCCAACCTACTAAGCAAAATCTGATCAATTTTTGTGCTCTGTTTTTGGTTGGGCCAAGAACATTTCAGCATAATCTCATCCTTGTTTAATGAAAGATACTTCAAAGAATCTAAAAATAAGGAATACGGTCATCAGTATGAGAAATTGTAAC